TGGGGGGGGGGGGGGGGAGGTATTTGCTATGAATAATAATAATAAAAAAAAAAAAAGAATAAAACATATAAAAGAATTGTTTAATAATGATTATAATATTGGCGTAGAGGCTTGAGAACGAAGTAATAATTTACGCGTCCAAGTATTAATTTACATTTTCCATTATCATTATTACAATATACATTAAAATAGCTACATAATCAATGAAAAGCAAATAAAATTATCTGTACTTTATTTGATTGGCGGCAATAGTAGTCAACACACACGATACTTGAATTCTCAATTAATTCCGATCCAATAAATGGAAAAATAAATACAGTGAAAAAAAGGAAAACCTTATGAAACGGTCCGATACGTTTTTATGACGCATTATAAATCGTCGGCGCTTCCTCTTATGATTCCATCGACAGCGATGCTTTTAACCATATGTTTCGCAGCACGGCAGGCGCATGAAATTTGGTATCGACGTCAAACGAGAGGTATTTTCATTTTTAGCCGAGCGTTCATTATTCAATCGATAATGTGGTACATCGGCAAAGGCGCCCGGGGGGCGCAGGGCCATGGGGGGGGGGGGGAGGGAGCGTCGTTTGCGTACATTAAACTGTAAAGTCGCGGGATGGACGATAGGGGGATGAGATGGGAGGTGATTGTGATGGGTTAGGGGGGTAAGGGAGTGTCGGAGTGTGTATGGTTGTGGAGCGCATCTCGAAAGTAGCATTAACGAAAGGATGAGACTGGAAAGTGCGGCGGCGTGTTCGGCGGGACGGGTTGAGTAGGCGACGGGCGCTTTTAAGGGGCGGCGGCAGGAGACGAGGGGAGGATCGAGCCCGCTGGAAAGAGAAAACAATTACGGGCGATGAATTAAATAGGCGAGCGCGTGCGCCTTGCTTAAAAATGAGCGCTAGGCACTTTTACCGGGCCCAATTGATATGCGCCGGATGCTTGCCACGCGCACGTACGCCGTATCCGCGCGAATTGACGATGCGTTGGGTACGGGCGATCAGGTGGGTGTGCGGGGACTGGGCATTTGGCGATTTCGGTTTGAGAGGTGGGATTTTGGTAGGTGGGTGAGGTGCGGGAGGGGGAGGCGACGTTGACAGTAGCGGCGTTGACGGCGGGGCAGGGCCTCGAGTGCGCGCACCAGAGGATGGAACAGATTACGCGCACATGCCGGAATAATGAGCACAAAGCGCGACAGGCCGGCTGCTGGCAATTGTCGCTGATTGCCACTAATGGCCCTGATAGCCGCTGATATCCCGGGGCCGCCTCCCTGGCTCCTTTCGCGTCCCTTCTTTCGCGCGGGGCCGCGGGGGACTTATGTTAATCCGGGGCGCCGAAAACACGGGAATGGCGTGGCCCGCTCGTCCGATGCCGAACTGTCGCGGGCGTCGCCCCCGCGCGACTTTCGAAACTCGCGGTGTTGGTGGCGATAGGTCCGAGGGAGAATGGATGACGGGGAAGCTGTGGTGTATTGGGACATGTGATGAGGGGAGAGCGGTGGTCCGGGCATGCCAGGGCTAGAGGGCAAGAGGACGTCTCTCGTCGTTCGTCGTCGTTCGTCGTCGTCGTCGTCGTCGTCGTCGTCGTCGTCGTCGTCGTCGTCGTCGTCGTCGTCGTCGTCGTCGTCGTCGTCGTCGTCGTCGTCGTCGTCGTCGTCGTCGTCGTCGTCGTCGTCGTCGTCGTCGTCGTCGTCGTCGTCGTCGTCGTCGTCGTCGTCGTCGTCGTCGTCGTCGTCGTCGTCGTCGTCGTCGTCGTCGTCGTCGTCGTCGTCGTCGTCGTCGTCGTCGTCGTCGTCGTCGTCGTCGTCGTCGTCGTCGTCGTCGTCGTCGTCGTCGTCGTCGTCGTCGTCGTCGTCGTCGTCGTCGTCGTCGTCGTCGTCGTCGTCGTCGTCGTCGTCGTCGTCGTCGTCGTCGTCGTCGTCGTCGTCGTCGTCGTCGTCGTCGTCGTCGTCGTCGTCGTCGTCGTCGTCGTCGTCGTCGTCGTCGTCGTCGTCGTCGTCGTCGTCGTCGTCGTCGTCGTCGTCGTCGTCGTCGTCGTCGTCGTCGTCGTCGTCGTCGTCGTCGTCGTCGTCGTCGTCGTCGTCGTCGTCGTCGTCGTCGTCGTCGTCGTCGTCGTCGTCGTCGTCGTCGTCGTCGTCGTCGTCGTCGTCGTCGTCGTCGTCGTCGTCGTCGTCGTCGTCGTCGTCGTCGTCGTCGTCGTCGTCGTCGTCGTCGTCGTCGTCGTCGTCGTCGTCGTCGTCGTCGTCGTCGTCGTCGTCGTCGTCGTCGTCGTCGTCGTCGTCGTCGTCGTCGTCGTCGTCGTCGTCGTCGTCGTCGTCGTCGTCGTCGTCGCTCATTGTCGTCGTTGCGCGCGCACGTTTTAACGCGCGCGCGAGCCAGCGCTTATCAATTCTCTTGATAGGTCTGATAAAATAATGGCGACGTGTGTCGGGCTTCCGGCCAAGCTAATAATGCTCGGTGCTCCGGGCGGCGGATCGATAATCGGATGCGCTTCCTACGGGAGCGAATGGCCTTTTTGCCGTTGGAAGCCAATCGACGGAACGACGTCGCTCGCCTCGACTGGCATCGTCGTCCCGGCGCGCCTTCTCTTCCACAACGGAACGATAAACTTAATTTGCCGTTCATGCGGATGTACGAAGCTTTGGCTTAGCGGCAGAGCCTAAGCGCTACGGTTATGATACAATAAGAAACAGTAAGACAGAGAGAGAGAGAGAGAGAGAGAGAGAGAGAGAGTGTGTGCGTGCGTGTGTGTGCGTGTGCGTGCGCGCGCGAGTAGGAGAAGGGGATGGGAGAGATAGAGAGGAAGAGTGAGAGAGCCACCGAGCCGCCGAGCAGCTAAAGTCGGTCGCAATTGGCACGTACCTGCGTCTCGGTGACGTTGAGGAGTTTGGCCATGTCCGCGCGCTCGGAGGAGCTCAGGTACTTCTTAACCTCGAACTGCTTCTCGAGCTCGAAGATCTGTCGTCCCGTGAAGGTGGTGCGGGCCTTCTTCTTCTTACGTTCGGCCGAGTCCGCGTCCTCGGCTACGTCGGCCGGCGAGGGCCTCGTCTCCGAGGCGAGCTTGAGGCCCACGGGCAGGGCCTCCTTCGTGGCCGCCTCGGACCTCTTGCGCTTGCCGCCGGAGGAGGGCTTGGTACCGCCGAGGCCGAGGCCGCTCTCTGCAACAGAATTATTGCTCGGTGCAGGAGTATTGCGGGAGGCGAGGGTGGACGGCGCTTAGCGCGCTGCTGCTGTCGCGTGCACGGCATTCCCGTTGACATCCGATATCTCGCTGGAATGCGTCAAGTGGCGTGCGCGTATCGTTCGTTCGGCGAATCGTGGCGGGTGTACGGCGGTTGAGAGCGAAGGTGCCCGGGGGGCTTTTGTCGAAGCTGGCTCTTTTGTTAATACGATTGAAAAATTGGCACGAGGGAGTGCGAGGGGCCGAGTCGGTTGTGAAAATGTGAAAATGTTCTTTTTTTTTTTTTTTTTTTTTTTTTTCTCGAAAGGAGCTCGGGATATATAACGTCGCGTCATTTTAAGGATAAACGACCGGTCCTTACCACAAGTTGTTCCGATAAATTACCCTAAATGATTATAATTATACAATTTGCAATAACTTTAGACATTAGGGAAATGTAACATATTATGCCATTGCAGTTGGGCGGTCAAAAACAGTTGCAGCCGTGCAAAGTTTGCCTCCCCAAGTTAATTATGCGAAATAACTTTATCTTTTATCGTAATATTATTACATTGTCATAAAGTACAAATGGAATATTTATTTAACATTTCAACGAAAAACCAAGGAAAAACGAAAAACAAAAAACAAAAAACAAAAAACCAAAAAATAATGAAAATCAAGAAAGTTATATTAATTCGGTGACAGTGTTTTGTAACTACGTATGGTCGTGACAAAAGCTGAAAAGTGCGATACTCTTGTGACCGCGCAGACTTTCTTCTTTTCTTTCTTTTTACATATCCGAAAGTCCGAATTTCCGAGTTTCTGCTGAACTAAAGGATAATAACGATTACCAACAATTTTTCATTATTTTTCTGCTAAGAGCTTACTTACTTTTCCTTGCTTCGACAAATTTTTATCGTATTCATGAGAAATAGTGAAATTGCTCTGCCGAAGAACGGAAATCTTACTCGAGTAGAATTAAATTTGTCATTTTGGACTGAGTCATACGATTCATTTGGCCGAAGATAAAAATATTGAAAGTTATTGTAACTATCGTCGTCGGGATTACATTGCATTTATTTCCAACTAAATCAACGACATTTGAAATTATCGATTCTTACAAAATGTGCAGTAGCTTTTTCTACTTTTCCATTATGCCAATTGACAGTCTATCCCTCTACATTTGTACAATTTTATAATGAAAAACCTAACATTCCACGTGTAAAAGAATATTTCGTGCTTGATGAATAAAAACAGCAAATGCGCATATTATTTACTATATGTCTACAGATGCCATAGAAGTTTTTATTGAGCAAAATCTAGAATAAAGTATCACAATACTTGCTTTTAAAAAAAAAAAAAAAAAAAAAAAAAAAAAAAAAATAAAACCCTCCCGTTTTTTTTATAAGAAAACGGGATATTTTCAATATGACAGAGTATTTTCATTCTCATTTTTTCTTTTTTCCATTTCGTTTACCTTTCTAAAATATATTTTTATTGTGAGACTACGTACACGCGTGCGTCTAGTATTATAAAGATAACTGTTATATTAACGATATTTTTTTTTCTTTTAATATCATTTCTCAATGCTTTATGAGCATTTTTCAAGGTGCGCAGTTTAAATAGACGCTTAATTTGATATCGCCTTTCTTATTTACTTTTCATTAAGGCGATAAAAAAAGTGTTCTGATTACGTAAATCTTTTAACGCCATGCATACTAGCCTGGCATCTCTCTTTCCAGTTGACTTCCGAGTAATTACCTCATACTTTTGTATTTATTAATAAATACCCAGTACATATACGACGATGCATTGAACTTCAAAAAACAAAAAAAAAAAAAACAAAAAAAAATGTGCATAATATAAATTACAATTATTGTTCATACGCTAACGGCAGGCGCACAAGTAAGGACACATGCCAAGAACATAAGAGAGTGATTAATTATACTTACCATAATGTTCTCTAAATAGTCTAATATCTAAGCTTATATGCACATTTTATGCTTACAAAATTATTTTCAATGAATTTTATAAAATTTTCGCAAATATTACATTAATATAGATTGTAAAGTAGATCTAATATCCTGACTGTTCGTAAAGATAATTTCGTCGTAATGGCTACTGTAATAACATCAGTTTTATCTTTGAATTATTCCAAGTCGAAATTAAATAGCAGCCTTTAAATTACGTATAAATTGAAATTGCAATTTTCAATTCGCTCGTATTAATACGTTGGCTTGTTGATTTTTATCGAAACGAATGCTTTTAAATATTTTGGTTTACCGAATGTCCAGTTGATCGGCCACATTAAAAAGTTAAATGAACGATACCTAATATAAGTTATTTAATAGACGATTAATTTTATCAATCGATATAGCAACTACCTTTTCTTTCTCTCTTCAAGATACATATTCGCAAGATAAATTCTTAACGTTCGGCTTGTCTATATTGCGTGATTTGAGATTATTAATTGAATAATACACCTAAAAAAACTTGATAACTATGTACTGATATCAATAAATAAATAATCTATTTGATTTAGCATGCACTTTATTTCTAAATTGGCATTACATAGCAATGATAATCAGCTAATGATTGTTATATAAAATATATTAAATTACATTATTATTAGGAATGGGAATTATAAGAATTATACATAATGTTGAAAAGAAAGAAAAAAGCAAGTTTCCACTAAGTACTTGCAAGATGCAGTCTATTAATATCATATTCGTTCAATTAATATGAGCCTATTAATATCCATTAATATCTTAATATCAGAAATCTTATTACAAGCTTTAGGATATCTCTTTACGGCAATAAACGCTTATTTAAGCGGATTAAGAGTAGATGCATCGATGCAAATTATTGTTTATTTCGCAAAAAGTTAGAGAGCACTTGATCGGTTATTTTCTAATCTGGCTTTGAACGCGATTAACAGATAAATAAAATTTATATTATTTTAATATTTTTCTTTTTTTGTTGTTTTTTTGTTGTTTTTTTTTTTTGTTGTTTTTTTTTTTGTTGTTTTTTGTTTTTTGTTTTTTGTTTTTAAAGTAAAATATTGCCGCGGTGTCTATTTTTCAGCGTTTGTATGCTCGATACCGAAGCCCGAGGCATACGCATACTGTCGTATTTTATTCAATTTGAAGGTTGTTATATATATATTTCTGAAATGGTTAATTGAATTTCAGTGTCCGAGAGAAATTTTCTTTTTATAAGCTATTCATTCGGGAGAGGTCAATTTTTCTATATAATATTGTGAAAGCAAAAAAAAAGTTTCGATTCCTTGTGCTAGAATTTTTATTTTTTAGTCAACACTGTAGCGTTGATAATCTGATCAGGGACTAAAGAAACATCGGCTTTCATTGCCAGTGCATTATAAATCAGCTTGCAAGCTCATTTGGCGCCAGAGCTCACGAGTTGCTCATTACAATAAGAAACTTCGGTGTCGATTCTTAAGGCGACGATTACCGACTAACGGAACAGCCTCGCTTGTTAAGAGGCACACAAGCATAGAAGCGATGACACGAGGAAGCGGATAACGTCACACTTTTTCCAACGTTCGTGATTGCGCGTCGGGCTATCTCTCGTTAAGATAAAGTGCGAGTTAAACGCCGTAGGAGAGATAGAAAGGGGAAGGAGAGGCAATAGTAGCAGTCATCCCCCACGGCGGCTAGACCTATTTCCATAATACCGGGCGCTGCTCTTTTCCCAAGTGTTCTAAGAGAGACTGCGAGAGAGCTTCCAAGTATATAAGCGCGAGACGAGTGGAAAGCTCCGGGCCAAAGCTTTATTAGCCTGTAACATCGGCTTTGTTCCGGAGAACTAGTCAAACAGCGTTCCAAAAGCGAACCAAACGATCTCACCCACCTCCCTCTCCTCCACCAACTCGCCTGTCCTTCATCGCCCGCTAACTCGCTTGTTATTGCTCTCTCTCTCTCTCTCTCTCTCTCTCTCTCTCTCTCTCTCTCTCTCTCCCTCTCATTGCCGTCTCCCTGACGTACTCCTGCCAGGGGAGGGTGTTGGACGCTGGAGCGGGGAAAGGGGCTCACAACTACCACCGCGAGCCCTAGCAGGGGGTAGAGGCGGCGGCTGCGGTGGTGGCGGCGGCAGCGACTATGGAGCCGACGGCCTGGGTCATCGATTATCCGCCGCATCACCGCAGCGGCAGTTCACGCTAATTAGCACGAGGGTCACATTAATAGGATCAAATCACAGGGACGTTCACCTTTGTTTCCGCCGGCGTGCCTATTTTTCGAGACGCCCAGACTCGAGGACCCGAAGAGAGAGAGAGAGAGAGAGAGAGAGAGAGAGAGAGAGAGAGAGCGATAAAAATCCTGAGAACCAAATATATGGGGGAATAATTGATGGGCGCGTCCCCGCGGCCTTTTGCCACTAGGCGACGAAAGCTCTTAAAGCCATCCTCTTCTAAATGCACCGCGACCGCGCGATCCTTGCATTATTAATCACCGTCGGGAGAAGTCGCTAATGCCTTAGAGTATCACCGATTTTCTCGTCAAAGTCCCCCAAAACAAACGAAAAGAAAGGAGAATCGCCCAACCGATCACCCCCGTATTAATGCTCGCGTTTACGTGCGTCTACATGTAAGCGGTCGTTATGTATTTTTCCGCATTGTGTGGAGTGGACGCGTGGCCTTACTCACGCGGCACTTTCTCCCGTTCGTGCTCCGTCTAACTTTCAGGCGATCCGGGGGGTCGCGAGGGAGCGGCGGCATCCGTCCCTAAGCGAACACTTAGCTGGAAATCGATGCTTTTAGCGCGTTTATTTTCTTATCGTCGGGTGCCTGCTTTATTTGCCCCCGCAATGTGTCGCGAGATAAGAGCCGACGCGGCTATTAACGCAAGTGCCGCTAAAAATATTCCGGCCGATGCTTCGTCAGCTCCAGAGCTCGCAATTCACGAATTACGCCGGTTATTTATTGCGCTGAAGGAGCCCCGAGTGCTTAAGCGTTTTCAAGATCAGCGACGTCTTGAGGGCGGCAAAGACGCGCTCTCGAAATAAATGCCCATATTCTCATTCTTTTCTAGGCAATGT